TGTATGTATGTATATGGTGATAATACTGCATATTGCGCAGTTGAGCCACTCAAAATTACCGCAAGGGGAAATTCCTTCACCGCGACAGCCCTCGTTTAAAGTTTACTACCATCGGTGTTGATGTTTTTGTTTGTTTGTTTGTTTGTTTGTTAAAAAAACCCTCAGAAATGTTCCTAATCTCATCTGATAGATACTGTATTTAAAAAAAAACAAACAAACAAAAAAGGCCAGACAGACAGATAGATTCTCAGAGTGTTTGACGGCTTCATTATTTTTAACAGACGATGTGTCTGCTCCCTCTTTAGTGCGAGCGTGTAAATGCTCCCTCTTGTCTCGGAGCTGTGAAGTCGCCTTGTTTTTGGTTCCGACCGCTTGTCTTTTGAAAGTGGGCATTAGCATGATCTGGGTGCCAGGGCTGAGAGATGGAGCTGGCGACAGGGAAAAGATGCTTTGATTTAGGATTTGCATATTAATAGCCTTAACACAGGAACAGGAAGTTGGAGGCGAGTGTAAGGATAGGAATTCTTTTCAGGGACACATACAACCTGCTGTGGCCACGTAAAGGAAGGATGTTTTAATCTCAAACATAAAGGGATGCCCCTCTACAGTAACCATTTAATTTGTAGTGAGGGAAAGAGTCACTTAAAGCGAGAAAACAAGAGATGGATGCCGTCTCCTCTCCTCCACTGACTGGACTGATTCATTCACTCTCTCCAATGGATGAGAAGTCATTTGATGCTGAACAGAGGAGTGATTCATCTGTGCTGGCATATATCTCTAAAGAGATGTATGCCAGCTGAGAGATGTTGTGTAAATGTTGTATAAAATCCCTGATTTTGTAGTTATGGTTTACTGTTTAATCCGGTTCCTCTATTTGGCCATTAAAGAAATGTTTACCTAAAAATGAAAATTCTGTCATCATTTGCTCATGCATTGACCCTCATGTCATTCCAAACCTGTATGCTGAAAATATAAAGAATCTTCTTATTGCACTTTGTCATACAGCAGCACTTGATCCACAGAAATTGTTTTTATGCCACTGCCGAAAGTTAGTCATACAGGTTTGAAACTATTGCTGGTGAGTAATCATGACAGAATTTTCATTTCTTGTCAAGCTGTTCCTTTAAGAGTTTGCTTACTCTTTGCTGCTGTGTCATGTCTCCAGCTTAGACAAACATTTTGCTTCTAGCAGGGAAAAATTATGTATTTTTTTATTACTATCATAGTAGAATGTACATGTGTATATGTGTGTTTCCTCAGTGTGTATCAGCTCTGGTTCAGCCGCTCGGCGTGTGTGCAGAATACCTCAACTCCAGCCTGGTGCAGGTGAGTGTTTCCACAGCTCATCTGTTCTCACCCTGGAATACTCAATTCTGATTGGTCAGAAGTTCTGGAGTCAAGTCCGTTAATTAGGCTGACAAGTTTATTTAAATCATTTTGAATTTATTCTTATCTAGATAAACTAGTAAAACATTTTTTTTTTAAATTTAGATAAGTTAGGTGTTCAAGACACCAATTTGTTTAAAAATACCCTCTCAGAAATCTGAGAAAGCCGATAGATTACATTATTTTCATATCATAAAATTATTCAAGTTTAAATCAACATTTCATGTCCGTTTATTTACTTATTTGGAAGGTAGCGTATTAACATCCTCTCAACTCTGGGCTCTTGATCACCCTCTCTGGGTTTATCTTGCTCCAATAACCAGCTGACTGTACATTATACTTTCCTATCACGTATAGTAGAACCTTAGATATCTTCTATGTATAGTCAGATTTACCTGGTGTAAATGACAAAATGATATTGAATCATAAAGAATACATTTAAATCAACATGTTTTTGAACTGTGGTTACAAGAGAAATTTCAAGGACACTCTGCAATGTGACCTTCAGCTTGAAGTGGTTGGTTTTGTTGTATTTTGTAGCCCATGCTGGACCCAGTCATCCATAAGATGATAACATATGTGCAGAACCTGGAGGAGAAAGACCTGAAAGACAAGGTAAGGCACCTGCATGCATTTCTTCATTCATTTTGGTTTTGTAGTGTGAGAGTTTAGTGTGAGAAACCTGTTTCAAAACATTTTTTGTCACACAAATTACACACCAGTGGTTTTTTTGCCCTCATAAATGAAAGTGCATTTTGTTTTCATTCAGGGATTTTTTTTTTCTTCAGAGAGAGACAACAATTTACATAATCCTCTCAGTGAAAATTATTTGCAAAATTTAGTGTTGTTTATTTGCATTGGTATGTTGAAGTACAGTCCCATGCTTTAAATTATTGAAAAGTCATCCTGTTTTAAATTTCTGTAATGTTTGAGAGACTTTGACTCACCGTTGTACGTCTTTTTCTCTAAAGCGTTTGGTGAGTATTCCAGAGCTCTTGTCGGCCATTAAGCTCCTCTGCATGCGTTTCCAGCGGGAGCTGGTGAACATCGTGGATGACCTTCGGCTGGACATCCTTCTCCGAATGCTCAAGACGCCCCACTTCAGTGCCAAAATGAACTCCCTCAAAGAGGTTCAAATTCCTTTCCACATATTAGTGCTCTGGAGCTTAAAGTTCACGCCTGAGGTCTTTCTTCAAGTTGACGGCTTTGTGTTGTGATAGGTCACGAAACTCATTGAGGAAAGCACAGTTTCCAAGACTGTGAAGAACGCCATCGACACAGACCGACTCCTGGACTGGCTGGTAGAAAACTCAGTACTGTCAATAGCTTTGGAAGGTAAGACGGTCCCTAAATCAGTTTAACATATGAACATTCAGTTTCATATCTAACTCATATTGGATCTGCTAATCGTCTACTTTAATATCGGTTTACCGTACAGGCCATACATGGGAAATAATACAAAAAACTGATTTTTTGTGTTATTATGGTTAACTAAAACCATAGAAAACGTTTTTGTTACTTGAAATTTAAGAAATGTTAACTTAGGCCTGGGCGATAAAACGGTATCGATATTTATCGACGGTACACCTTCTTCGATATCGATAGAAAAAATGTTCGATATAGTGCACGTAGGCATGGGCCGGTATGAGATTTTAACGGTATGATACAAAAAACGGATTTTTTCTGAGATAAAATTCAGAGTTATTATGGTTAACTAAAACCATAGAAAACATTTTTGTTACTTGAAATTTAAGAAATGTTAACTTAGGCCTGGGCGATAAAACGGTATCGATATTTATCGACGGTACACCTTCTTCGATATCGATAGAAAAAATGTTCGCCTTTGTCTTTCACTTGTGCTCTGTTTCTTTCTCTTATTTTTCTAAATGGCCTTTGTTTTGTTTTTTTGAGAGAAACCATCTGTTTTTTAAACTATAATAAATGTATGATGTTATTTGGTGTATTTAATGTTCATAAGGATTTATTATTATTATTACTTTTCAACGATTTTTGGGGGTCTTTAGTATAAGGTTGCTGAGATTGTAAAGAGTACAAAAAAAAAATCAAGCTATAATTTCGGTTTATAAAAGTACCAATTCTAAAGTTGAGAGTAAAAAAGGAAAAATATAATTTTTTGATATGTCTGTAAAATGTTGGTAAATGTGATGGTAAGTGATGAAAAACTTTTAAGAGGGTTTTACATCAATGGGTTTATAATGGAGCTAGCCTCTCATTTTAAGAGTATTTTTAATTGCATCCAGTGCTGTATGAAAATAAGTATTTTTTTAATTAAAAAATAAAATAAGTAAAATATTTCTCTCTCTCTCTCTGTGTGTGTGTGTGTGTGCTGTAGGAAACATTGACCAGGCCCAGTACTGTGACAGAATAAAGGGAATCATTGAGCTGTTGGGCAGTAAGCTCTCATTGGATGAACTCTCCAAAATATGGAAAATACAGGTGAGCTGTGTCTTGAAATCAGTGTTCCCTCAAAGCTGCATGAATTTCTGACATCGTTTCTGAGAAATATACTGCACAGAAAGCTCTCAAATGTCTTGAGACATTTGAATAAGAACTAAATGAATAGAAAGAATTTCAATTGGCGTCCATCCACATGGCCATTGATTTTCAGAATGGAAATGAAGCTGTGAACAATCTTGAGATTAATTCACAAGCCAAGGTAGTGCTGGGCGGTATGACCAAAAATTTATATCACGGTATTTTTCAAAATTAGACCGGTTTCACAGTACATGACGGTATTTTTTTTCATGCATGACCGGGTGTTAACCATGTTTTCTACCAGTATTCGGTATGAACCGGTATACCGCCCAGCACTAAGACAAGGACTGCATCCTATAACAGTACAAGGATTTTGAGTTCAAAGCGGCACTAACCTATTTTGCAAAAATAATGACAGTTCCCAAAGATTTGGAAGCCCACTGAAGTTGTGCATTATTGTTTTGTTTTTTTTATGTCGTCTTGTCTCAAGATCACTTATTTCATTTTGTGATCTCAGCTGAGCATATTAATAGTTATCAAAATAAATCCTTTTTTTTTTTTTTTTTTTTCTTTTTTTTT